TCAGGGGAGGTATAATATGGCAGTTAAAACAAACCTATCTGTGTTTAAATCATAGATTGTCCAGTATTTGGAGAGTAATCCTGAGTAAGTTAAACTTGGGTACAACTGAAGGAAGATCGGAAAGCTCTCTAACTTCACCATTCTTCCCCCACTCTCTTCATAACATCACTCTTGCCACACTCAGGCGGGCAACTTCAGCAGTGTGTAAAACACAAAACCAAGAGCCAGCATTAGAATCTAAGCTCTAGGTTCTGTGTAGGCGATACGGAACCAAGTGAGCTCACCTCCTGGTGAGTTAAATAAGACTCTACACCAGTGGGAGTTGTCTCACAAAGTAAAGTGTATTTCCAGCGAATAGGAGGTCATGAGCAATCATCTCCAAAGTCATGGTGTCCCCGAACAAAGGAAGGCAGGAACTTTTATTTGGTTGGGGGATGAATATTCAAAAGGAAAAGGCGGGTATTCCCTTGCACAGGCTCAGTTGGAGAACATGCTTCCTCCTAAGGAGGGCTAAGCTCCTCCTGGAGAGATCTTTGTGTTAAAAATAAGGCAAAGGTCATGGGCATAGCTCTTGCAGGTGAGGCTTGGTCAGTTTCAGGATGGCTGGTGGTTACATCTCCTTAACCTACAAAAGGAAAAGAAACAGCTTGGAAAAACAGTTAATTGCTTCCAAAGCCACCTTTGAGTTTCTTCAGGCACCTAGTCGGTGACATAGGTACAAGTCATTAAGTTCTAGATTTAAAAACAAATAAGCTTTAACCTTCATTTTCTTCTAGCTCCTTATTCACTATATACTAAGATGTGAAGTAACAGTACCTAGAACAAGAATGAAATTATTTAATCAAACTGTAGGAACATTTTAGTCTCTGGATATATATTGACAAATTATTTTCTAAAACATTGAATTTTTACCAGTAGAATAGGAAAAAATGCCCATTTCACCTTAAAAAATACATAGGTACAGGATATTCTTATATTCTCTTTTCCAAACTAGGAATAGTTTTATTTACTATTTTTCTTTGATTATTAAAGAAATACTTAAACATTACAAAAACATTTAGATAATACAAAAACAATTTTGAAAACCTAGCACCCGGAGTTCATTTCCATTAACATATTGATATTTTCCAAGACTTTTTGGAGATACAAAACTCTTCTAACCTCCTTTTCTTACCTAGCTAAATATGATGGACATCTTTTAATGTTAATGAATATAACTATATCACCATTTTTAATAGATGGATAGTATTCCACTGTATAAACATACCGTAACTTATGTACCCAATCCTTACTAAAAGTGATTTATATTGTTTCAAGTTTTTTTAAATCATACACTAACTGAATCTGCTACAAATTATATCACCAAGGGCAGATCAATTAGTTTCTCAAAGACTTATTTTCCTAGCCGGTTGGCATCTAATGAGTTAATCTATAAGCATCTAAGGAGCTATATTACAATATAGAGTTGCCCAAGACCCAATTTTACACAAGCTGTAATATTAAAGTAAATGTAGCAAATCGGAAAGCCTATGACTTTGGAGCATGTATCAGTTTTCTACTGCTGCTGTAAAAAATTACCACAAATGGTAGTTTAAAGCAACACAAATTTATTTATTTTTGTGAGGAAGATTGGCCCTGAGCTAACATCTGCAAATCCTCCTCTTTTTTTGCTGAGGAAGACTGGCCCTGGGCTGACATCCGTGCCCATCTTCCTCTACTTTATATGGGACGCCCCACAGCATGGCCTGACAAGCGGTGCATCAGTGCGAGCCCAGGATCCCGGCCTGCGAACCCGGGGCCACCGCAGCGGAGCGCGCGCACTTAACCGCTTGTGCCACCGCCGGCCCCTAAAGCAACATAAATTTATAGTCTTAGAGTTCTGAAGGTTAGAAGTCTAAAATCATCTGCAGGACTGACTTCCTTTTGGAGGCTGTACGGAAGAATCCATTTCCTTGACTTTTCCAGCTTCTCTAGGCTTTATGCATTCCTTGACTCATGGCCCCACATCACTCTGACCTATGCTTCCATGGTCACATGTTCTCTCTCTCTGACACTCCTGTCTGCCTCTTTTAAAGAGCCTTGTGATTACATTGGGCCCACAGGATAATCCAAGATAATCGCTCCATCTCAAGATACTTAATCATATCAGCAAAGTCCCTTTTTGCCATGAAAAGTAATATATTCACAGGTTTCAGGGATTAGAATGTGGATATCTTTTATCCTACCTACCACAAAGCATACATCTAAATTTGAGTCTGTTCTTGTCCACATAAGAATTTGAATTTGGACAAATGACTTAATTCCTACGACCATCATCTTCTAATCTGTAAAACGAGGAAAAGAATACTTTCCATATAGGGTAGCGATGAGGATTAATAAAATAAATTATATGAAATGTCTACATTTCAATGTCAGTCACTTAAAAACACTTAGAAGAGTAACTGGCACAAAGGAAATATTTAGTAAAAGTTAGTTATCATAATATAATTACTGAGGCAAAATGAGTTGCATTGTTATCATGTTTATTTGTTTCTTGGAATCTACTTGAGACTGAGGGATGAGGAAAGCCAGTGTTTCTTTAATTTAGCATTTGCTTCATCAACCTGCTTCTTTCTCTTTTCAGTTCTCAACCATTTTGGGGGGAAAGCATTGAATTTATATTTATATTTCAAATATATTCTGAACAGACCCAATGATGATTTAGTTTAAATTAATTCCAATATTTGTGTGCTTTTTTCTCCAAAGAACCTGAGAATATCAGAATATAGCAATGAAATGCAGAAACATGAGATTATTTATCCAACTGTATCTATTTGCTTTTCATGTGTCTATGACTAGATTTTATCTTCATCGTAGTTGAAGCTAGGACTTCCAAGGGCATCTTAATTTGGGGTCCTGAAATTGTAGGCAAAATTTGTGTATGTGCATTTTTCTAAGTTACAGCTTTCCTTAGATTTACAAAGGATCCATTATCCCAAATATAAAAGATCTATTTTTCTAAACCAATTTCTTCATTTTAATTCAAATTGTCACTGCCAAATAGAGGTCCTCTACTCGCCACAAAGACAAGCCAATAGTCCAGAGGCAAGGTGGTAAGAGAGAAAGGGTCTTTTATTATTATTACAGCTTGCTAGCAAGGGGGAAGATGGCAGACTAGTGTCCATAAAGAACCATCTTAAAACTACAAACTTTTGAAACAGTTATATAGGGCAAATGGGCTGAAGGGGGAGGGGGATTTCGGAACGCGACCATTTGGTGTTGTAGTCCTTGAGACGCTGGATCATCCCTTTTTCTTGTCACTGGCGATGGAGACCAGTATAGGGGCTCCTTTCTGAAGGTCATTACATTCCTGGGAAAACTTAAAGAACAAAAAGTTACTGTCTTATCACAATAAGGAGGTCTATGTGTAGGCTAAGGCTGAGAAAGTAGCAGAGCATGCATATTGCTCACAAGCAGGTGTGGATTTATCCAGGCTATGTGTAAACTAAAGCATTGCAGACTCAACAAAGGGGTGCCTTGTGGATCAGGGTTATTTATAGCTCCAACATGGTTCCCTTCTACAAGATGGCTTCCCTGATGCTACCTTATGCTAACCTGTGACTACATATCTATCATAGCTATTTAAACAGCACTAACAAAATTAGGTACATTTTTTTCTTGATTGCGTATTTCTTAATAGCCTTGTTACTCAATGTGTGATCTATGGACCAGCACCATTGGCATTAACTGGAAATTCATTAGAAATGAAGACTCTCAGGCCCCACCTCAGACCAACTGAATCAGGATCTGTATTTTAACGAGATCCCTACGTGATTCTATGCACACTTAAAATTTGAAAAGTATTGCCTCTCAGTAAAATTAGAAGGTACAATCAAGCAAAAATAAAAAGAAATGCCCACAATACCATACAACTAGTGACAAATCCTGTTAACATTTTGGCATATACTTATTTCCAAAAATGGGACCATCCTGAACATACGGTTTTGTAACCCACTCTTTTCCCAGTGCATTTTGAAGGGGTTAACATGCAACAAATACATGTCAGCATAATTTTTAATGGCCAATTTGTATTTTAACATATCTGCATGTATCATGATTTAATCATTCCATTCTTGGCGGTCATTTAGGTAATTTTTATATTTTTACTTTTAAAAACAGCCCTTGTGTGATGAACATCCTTGTAATGCAGGGCTTATGATTGCCTGATTTAAACTCTAATACTGCTGTTTACTAGCTGTGTGACCTTAGGCAGGTTACTTGACTTCTCTGTGCTTCAGGTTCTTTATCTGTAAAATGGCCATAATAAAAAGCACCTAAGAGCTCGTTGGAGGATTAAAATACACAATTCATGTAAAGATCTTAGAACTGTATCTGGCATATTCTAAATGCTCAATAAATGTTATCTATTATCATTAATCTTTATGAACATTCAACTATTTCTTTATAACTTCTCTTTCTAAAGTTAAGAAAACAGGTCACTAAGCTAGTTAGTAGGAGAGGCAGGGAGAACTGGATTTATTTCCCTTTTAATCTTTCCACCCTTGCTATCGTTCTGGAGTAGAGCGCCCTGCAAGTTTAGGACCTTAAAAAAATAAATATTGGTGGGAGTAAGATTATTGATAGATTACTGATGGGAGTAGGATAATTTTAATAACTCTTCTCTGCTGAGACTGACCCGTAAAACAATGCAGTTTAGCAGCTGATATCTAGAATAGGGAAGGGAAAATGGTTCTGATTTAAGCTTCATCAACCCAGCAGACAATTGATTTTCCCGGGAGTAGAGCAACGCTCACCTGTGGTTTCCATGGTTACAGACTCCGCGGAGTCCAGGCTCCCCAGCTTTCTATACTGCGCAAGCGCACACTGCCGATTTAGACGCCGGGCGCCTTCAATTTCGAAGAGGAAGCTCCTCCCCCGCCTTCCGCCGTTCTCCTATGGACTTCTGCCTTTGCCTGGTCCACGCGCTCTGGGTGTCCGTGACGTGGTATTGGCGCGTCCGCGTCGTTTGGAGGTGCGACGCTGAACATGGCGCGTTCCTAGGAGCCGCTTTCGGCATCAGTAGGCGGCGGCGTGTGGACTGGCAGCGTGAGGCGCGGGACAACCGACGCCGCTTCGTGTTGCGGAGTGGAAGCAGAAGAACCGGGCTGTTCCGGGCCGAACCAGACGGTGAGGCCTCGGCCTGAGAGCCACAGAGCGCGCGCGAGTGGAAGGGAGGAGTGGATTGGGCGGCGGGCACGCGACAGGCGAGGGAGAGCAGGAGCGCGGCGAGGGCGGCCTGCAGGCTTGCCTCTCTGCCGAACCCTGGGAACCTCGGGGAGCTCGGGGCTGTCCCAGCCAGCCCAGGAGCGGGAAGCATGGTGGCGGGGGAGTCAGGGTGCGGGGAGGCAGGGACCGGGTGCCAAGATGAGGAGGGCGTGGGGTGCCCGTTGTGGCTGCGGTTGCGGGCCTGGGTGGTGCATTTGCCCTTGGGGGATAGGTGGTGCCAATTTTGAGAGAACGTGGTCATCTTTAGTATAAAACCGTTGTATATTGTTATCGCACACACGACGCTGCTGGTGATAGCAACACTGAAAGCTTTAATTAAACATTAAACCTTTAATGAACAAGTGAAGGAAATTATGAGGACCTGCCTGCTGAGGTATGGCCGCCGGTGCTCAAGCCCAGCGACTTCTGCAGTTTTGTATTTGGGGGTATTTGTGATTCAGCAAAACTATTTGGAAGCTCATTGTATTTGTCATTTTTTTATTCTTCGTGACATGGTGGTGAATGAGGGGCGTGTTGTTATTTCCAGGTGACTTGACTGATAGCTAGGACTGTTAAATTGCCTACTAGTGCCAAGATTTCAATTGACATACCCGAGTTTAAATGAGCGCAGTTGAGTACAGTAGTGCCCTTGAGATTTGGTTATTCTTCAGGAGGGAGTAAAGAAGAGCAGCTTACAGCCATAATGATTTTTGTTTCCTTAGGTAGGGACTTCAGTCCTCCATTTTCACGTTATTTTGAACTTCTTTATTCAGTGCACAGGCTTCAGGTTAAGGGCAGAGTGACTCTAGAATATAAGACATCCATTGCATGACATCTTTTCTTACATCTTTGGTCACTGAGGAAGATTTCTGTGAAATTAGAATGAAAATCTCTCCCTATTGGTTGTGATAGGATTGTGGAATTTTTTCCCCCTGTAACCTAGCACATTATAATTATAGCAATGGTTTGTGGCAATATGTTATAACCCTAGGGCAGCTGGGTTGTCTCTGCCCTAGTTACACATCCTAAAACAAAGAGAATTCTCATCACAGATGAATTTAGTTGTGGTAATGCCATTGGAAGTTCTAAACCAATATGTGAAGATTTTTGGTAATTAATATAAATATCTTTAAATTTTGTGAAATTGTGAATGTGTTTGCATTCAGGATCTAACCAGAGTGCAAAAGAACCCTTGTAGGCATGTGACTGTTAAAATATACTGAAGATTTTCCCAGAGATAAATATATATTTTTCCAGAAATAAAAAAATTCATATTTTAGGAAAGAGTATGTTTAATTAGATGGGTTTTGACTTGGGTTGTATGTAAGTATATGTGTGTGTTTGTATTTAGTTTTGGGCTTCTCCTAATTTAGTGTTATTGAGGGCAATATTATTCATTCCTTTCTTTTCCCATCTGTACCAAATGGGGTATATCAGTTAATTTCAAAGTGTTTTAGGGAATGGCAAGACACACTTAGTGCAGGTGTGAGTCTTGAGTGTCTGTATTTCTAAATATCAGGCTAATTAGATAAGCCCACCATAAAAGCTTTGTAGAGCTTGAGGTGGATCACTGTTCTACACCCTTGCTACTTAAAATGTGGTATATGGCATCACCTGAGAGTTTGTTAGAAATGCACAATCTCAGGCTTAACTCCAGACCTACTGAATCAGAAACTGCGTTTTAACAAGCTCTCCAGATGATACGAATGTACATTAAAGCTTGAGATGCATTACTTTGGTCGGTAAAAGTTGAAGACCAGGGTCGTGCACAAACCTACATAAAAATTGTAACATCATTTATTTTAACCTGAGGTGCTCTTATGTTGATTATCGAATCTTATTCATCTGGTTGAGGAACTAAGACCCAGCAATGGTAAGTGACTTGGCATAAGCTCACACATATCTAGATTTATAACCCAGGTTCTGACTCATTCCAGTGCTTTTCTTTGGTAGTTACTGCTAGAGTACACCATAATAAAACTGAACTACAGCATTCATGCGTGACAGCTAGGTATTCATTCAACAAATATTTATTGAGTAATGGACAGGCAGCCCAGTAATCCTGTGTGTCTCTGGTAACTATTCCTGTTTCCTGTGGTGGTTATTAACTTGCCACTTCCTCTCCTCCGTACTCTTTCCTGGGTAATGGTGCTTTCTACTTCATAGAGGAAATGAAATATATTGGTGGGAACTTCATTGCTTTCACCTGCAAACATGTCTACCTCTATCTGTTCATCTCTAATTGTGCTCTGAGTTTTTTCTCCTCAGGGACAATGGTTCCTTGGTGTATTAGTTTGCTAGTGCTGCCGTAACAAAATACTACAGACTGGGTTGATTAAATGACAGAAATTTATTTTCTCACAGTTTGAGAGGCTGGAAGTCCAAGATCAAGGTTCTGGCAGGTTTGGTTTCCTCTGAGGCCACTCTTGTCTTACAGATGACCACCCTCGTTCTGCCTCTTTACATGGTCGTGCTTTTGTGCACTAGAACCTCTGGTGTCTCTTTTTCTTGTTAGAACACTATTTGTATTGGATGAGGGCCCCTTCTGGGGTGAAGGGTGAGCTGTTTTAAATTGGGCAGTCAGGGAAGACCTATTTGATTAGTTGACAATTTGGATTGAAGTTAAAAATCTAGAGGCGAGAGTTTTCAGCCTGAGGGAACAAATTCTACAAGGGAAGGACTAAGGTACATTTTATGTATTTGTTCCACTAAGATGGATGTGATGTTGTCTCCAACCCAGTCTTGCTGTAGACAACTCCAAGATAAACACCCTTACTCTTGTCTCCTTGTATGCCTGTGCAGAAGTTTCTTTGGTTATAGTACCAAGTGTGGAACTGTTGGGTCATAGGATATAACCTGGTCATAGGAAGTGCGCGTGCGCACACACGTAATTTCATTAGAGATGGCAAGATTGCTCTCCAAAGTGGTTGTACCAATGTATTCTCTTAGCTTTGTGTTTCTGTATATTCTTGCCAGCATGGAATATTTTTGGACTTTGTCATTTTTGCCAGTCTAATGATTGTAAAGTAATATCTCGATGTTTTTTAAAGTTCCTGATAACCAGTGGAGTAGCATCTCTTGTGATGTTTATTAATCATTTGGCTTTTCCCATCTGTGAATTGCATATTTATATCCTTTGTCCAGTTTTTCTTTTGTATTTCTTGTTTTGTTGATTCACAAGGGTTCCTTGTATAGTCTATATAGTAATCCTTTGTTTTAGTCATTTAAAATTCCGTCTCCTAATCTTCACCTCATTAATTTTGCATATGGTGTTTTCACTGACTTCATTAATTTTGGCCTTCAGTTTTGATGTAGTATAATTTATCAGGAAGGTAATCTATGGTCTTGATGTTGTATTTTGGTTCTCAGGTCTAAAGCTAAAAAAAACAAACCAAGCAACCGGGGCCAGCCCGGTGGCGCAGCAGTTAAGTGTGCGCTCTCCGCTGCGGTGGCCCGGGGTTCGCCGGTTCGGATCCTGGGCGCGCACCGACGCACTGCTTGTCAAGCCATGCTGTGGGGGCGTCCCGTATAAAGTGGAGGAAGATGGGTATGGATGTTAGCTCAGGGCCAGTCTTCCTCAGAAAAAAAGAGGAGGATTGGCAGTAGATGTTAGCTCAGGGCTGATCTTCCTCACAAAAACAAACAAACCACCAAGCTAGTTAATTTCACTTGGACTGTCAATGGACAGTACTGTGATCAAAAGGAAAAATGTGTTAGTCAAGAGAAAGTATTGGGTTGGGATAGGAGACTTGAATTTGGGTTCCAGAAGTGTCACTAATGAGTCTCGGACCTTAGGGAAGTCACAGTTTATCTCCTTCTTTGGGACACAGTTTCTTGATTAGTAAAACAAAATGCTTAAATTAGATGTACTTACTGTTTAGAGAACTGATATGGATGGCTCCAAGGTGATAGAAATTATTTTAATGATTCAGAACATTATTTTAATAATAAAATGTAGAATAATTCCTAATTGTGGGAACATTACTGGGCATATAGCCTATACATGTTTGATAAATGCAGTGAGTCCTGAGGCTAACTCACACAACAAGAATGAGATTCTTCTAAGACAGAGTTGTAGACATTGATGTCCTGGACCAGTAATTGGAAATTACCAATCAAAGACATGTATATTTGGAGAGGACTGATGGTCCCTTAACACTTAGCAAAAGGTTTTCACTAAACTTAAATTTGGTCAGTTATAGTCTATTAAATTTAGGCTGTGCTATTACTCTGATTCAAAGGGCAGTATCTTGCTTAAAATCAAGCTTACAACTTTTCCTTTCTATTTCCTTGTTTTGCATCAGAGAAGGAACTTTAAAACCAATAAGCATAATTGCTGGTCTTTAGTAGTTTTTATACGGATGTGTATTTTTTTCTTTTAACTAAAGAAATGTCAGAGAGGGTGATGGTGACACTAGTTGGGGCCTCACTGCTGGCACTACCTTGGTGGGGGTCATTATTGTTTAGGATAGCTTGCCTTTTCCTATTAGGAGGTATTCAGTCATGGGAGACTCTCATGTAAACCAGACAGGCAAGAGACTTATTGCAGTTTATCAATGTTATTTTATTAAAAAGTCCCAGTGAGACACAAATACTTGAATATATTGGACAGGACTTCTCTCACAGATGCCTCCTAGCTCTGATACTGCCTTCTTACATACTATGTAATTTACCCCTTTATTTCTCTGTCTCCTCCCTACTAGAGTAAACTCTCCATAGGAGAAGGGATTTTTTTATTTTATTGATGTATCTCAAGTGCCTAGAATAATGTCTGGCGTTTGTAGGTGTTCAGTAAATATTTGTTGAATGAACGTAGACAAGTCTAATAATAAACCAAGTAAATATCAGAAAGCTGATTGAGGGCCGGCCCCGTGGCTTAGCGGTTAGGTGCGCGCGCTCTGCCACTGGCGGCCCGGGTTCGG